GGGCAGCCTCGCCGTGAGCAGGTGCCGCCCGCGCCCCGGCCTACCGCGAGGATCCCGGGGGAAGGGAGAGCCGAGCGCGGGGCGTCTCACAGGCGCCGGGCATTCAGTGGCTGAGCTTGGGGCATTGCATCACTGCTGGGCCTGGGATGGAGCTGGGGCGGCTGGAGTATCTGCAGGCCCTCGTCACCGAGTTCCAGGTGACAGACAGCCCAGGTAACCCCCGGGCACTGCTGCTTGCTAATACTCTTCATGTTGAGTGTGTTTCCTCACACACCTGATGCTTCTCCGTTGCAGAGGCCAAGGAGCAGGTACTGGCGAACCTGGCCAACTTCGCCTATGATCCCAAAAACTACGAGTACCTCCGGCAACTTCAGGTCCTGGATCTGTTCCTTGATACGCTTGCCGAAGACAGCGAGACCCTGGTGGAGTTTGCGATCGGTAAGGACTGCGCCTGAACACCCTCGTAAGGGGCTGACACTTCGGTTTGGTGGTTGATCTCCTCCCTAAGAGGCAGATAACAGCTGTACTGCAAGAACAGACCCATGCTGTGCTGATAAGGCTTCGCTGTGCTGATAAGGCTTCGTTTAGCGGAGAACGAGTGGAATGGGGTGAGAGGGAGGAGGCGGGTATCCCCCCCTTCATCCTAATATAGCTGCTGTGCTTAAAAAAGATGCTTTCTGGAAAGGATTTTTTTTTTAAAGACTGTACGTAAACACTAGATGAATGACTTTAATAAAATCTCTCCTATAGAGAAGCAGTCATTAATACGTAAATTGAATTTTTTTAACAAGTCCTCTGAGGAACTGCCTTATAATGATTCGTCATGGTCTGAACATAAGCTAAGGGGCCAGATCCTAATTGTGAGTGATTCCATGAGATGATAATAAATATATTTGATTTTTGAGCTTTGTGGCTGAGCTACAGCAGGGTGTGGCTGCATCTTAAAAGTTTCAACTACAAACATTCTGTGCCTCTTGGCTAGTACTCTTCTCTCTCTTCTCTGGTTTTCTTAAACACCTGCAATAAACTGCTGGCTTGTAGCTTCATTAGGGTTAAGTGATACTGGCATTCTTCATTCTGTGAAAGACGTTATGTCCAGCAGTACAGTGCCCTCTAATGACATACAGGAGGAGGAATGTTCTGGCGGAAAATCTCTGGAAAGAATCAAGAAAACATTGCCCAGGAAGCCGTTAAGAATTTTCCATCCAAATCTCACAGAAAATCTGGATGCTTTTTTCTGTATTAGAAAAAAGGGATCAGCAGTGAATTTGAATCCTAGTATGAAAAAGATGAGGGTGTGGAGGGAAGAGTTTGTCTTGCATGTGTCGGACACTTTCTTTTGCTGTTTCAGGCGGTCTTTGTAACCTGTGCCTGGATAAAACTAACAAAGACTACATCTTGGAGGCAAATGGGGTAGAGCCCATAATCAACTGCCTCTCCAGCTCCAACGAGGAGACGGTCATGTCAGCAGTCACAACGCTGATGTACCTGACAACGCCGCAGTCGCGCCAGCAGACCACGGCTCTCCCAGTGGTGGAGTGCATGCTTCGCTTCTCTCTCTCAGCCAGCAGAAGGCTAAGCAACCTGGCAACCGTCTTCCTGGAGGATTACTGCACACCACTGCAAGTGGAAGAGGCCAGGAATCTAAGCAAACACACGGCGGTGGGGATTCCTCTCCCCAAGGACTGAAGCTGTCCGAGCCGCGCAGAGCTGTTGAGAGGGAGACCTCCCTCTGTTTTCCCAGGCCTCCACTTTCTGCTCAGCAGGTCAAGAGTGTGTAAAGAACAACATTAAAGAGAGAAATTGGTCATACCAGCCCTGGATTTTAATTAATAAAGAGGATGGTACAGCACTACCATGTCAGTCAGGCCAAGCACACAGCTAAAACTGCAAGCAAATATTTAGAATAAAACAGGTCATGGCTGTTGGAGAGCAGGTTGCCAAGTGCAGCCCAGCACCCAGCTTGCACAAATAACCCTTCCCAGCAATTAGGGGTTTTTCCGCTTGGGTTATTGGGCAGCTTATATCCCTTCCAGTTCCTGGCTGGTTTTGCTGTAGCTCTCCTCTTCAGCGTCAACTCAAATGACTTTGAAATGTCACGTAAACATTATTCCTCCTGCAGAAGAAAGGTGTTTCCCTGCCCTGGCAGTCTGCAATCTTACTGCATCCCTTTAGTACTAAATATGCCATCCTATCATCATGGCATAGGCACCCAGCTAGGAAATCACTACACGGGGCAGGTTGTAGCTATCCTATAAATCAGGAAGTGGAAAGTTGTTTTTTCTCCCATTACCACTGGTGAGAAAGGTTAAGATATAAAAAAGGGCTCATGGCACCCTGGCTCATGAGAACAGCTGTCTTGTAATACCTTCTCTTAATAAAACATTAACTTACAATGCTGTGTAAAGTGTCTTGTATAAGCTCATAAATATTTCTCTACAGCACTTGCAGCCCAGCCTTCACCCACTCTTACTCATGCACATGGGCCAGAAAGTGAAGCCAGCTTGGTCTCCTTTCATTATCAGCCAATGATGCAAAAGGCAACCCAAAAGCCAGGGTGGCTAAATACATAAAATTTAACAGGGTTTGGCTGCTGAGCACAGTGCTCCCTGACAGACACCCACGCTCTGCCTGCTCAAGTTTTGGAGCTTTTCTTCTTCCTCTTTTTTTTCTCCCCTCCGCCCCCCCGTCAGCCCAAACCAAACAGGAGTGAGGTTAAAAGCACATGCACACAAGAAAAAAAAAAACAATCCACAACTGCTCGTACTTTATAGTTTCTCTTCAACAGCAAACATCCAAAACAACTCCACAGAGATTAACTAACTGAATGCAGAGCAATATTCCAGAAACCTGGAGAGGGGTCAGCTCTGCAGCGTGTCTAACAAGGGCAGCTCATTTCTTATAACTGACCCCCGCCCGGGGGACGGTGCTCGCTGCCTCCGGGGAATGGGTTTCCCGGCCAGCGGGTGAGCTGGTTGCTGCCCCGGCAGTGGGAAGAGCACAGCATCCCCTTTTTGCGTTACTGCCTGCGCTTGCTTTCCAGGATTGCCTTCCAATCATCCGCCCAGGACAGCAGCCGCCTGCGTGGTGCCTGCAGCTGGACGTGCCTGTTGTGGCAGCAGGTAAACAGGACATGCTCCCAGCTCGGGTTCAGCTCTGCGCCTGAGGAGGGCAAGAGAGGAAAGGTGGAGTCAGCTGAGGGGGTTTCCTCCCCAACTAACAGAAAGTGATGCAAATGCTTTTCAAACCTCTAATGGTATCCTTGTCGTCAAACAGCAAGTCAGCAGATACGACGGTCTTATCTCGGGTTAGAATAATCCGCTCCACAAACTCGGGTCCCAAATGTTTTTCCACCCACTTATACTGCAGAGGCAAGAAATAAGATAGGAGAAAATTCTGCTGTACTTTCAGTTTGCACATTGCTGAAGTCAGATCAGCCCTAGCACAGCAATCTTTTCCCCCATAAACCTACATCTGTGTCTGCGAATCCACGCCACAGAGACTGCCTACGGCCCAGGACACTGATTTAACCTGTACTTTTAACGGCCTTCAGTCAGCACTGCATTTGACGTGCCTAATCGTTGACGAGTTTGCAAATGGCGCTGGCTGCTTGCCCAGAGCACGTGGATTGTGCCCATCTAAGTCATTCCAGTGATTAAGGTCCCCCTCTCCATTCCTGCACCAGTGGCAAACAGGGCTAATTCCAATGCTATAGCCTCCTCTTAACTCGGCATCGGCCTCTTTCAGGATAGCTGGATATCTCAGACTCCAGATTTAGACAGAATAAGGTTTTGTCGGTTGAGGAGCCGCCAGTGTGGAATCCCTTGGGAATATCCTATCCCTGTGGGCCATGCTGAAAGCCAAGCTTGCCATACCCAGCCACGCTACAACAGTTCCTTTGCTATCACCTGCTGACACAGCTGGAGCCCAAGTGTCACACGCCAGCTCCAAGAGCACAGAGCTCATGTGCCCCGCAATAAGGCTGGCATCATGTGGCACTCTGAGATTCCCCATCCTATACTCACTGTGTCTGGGCACCTGCCCCTCAGACAGAGGGATCGCAGGGAAGCCTGGCAGCCTGTGCCGGCTACTGTCTTTGTAAATGAATTACTGACTTGGGTGGCATGAAATAGCACGGCCTTGCAAAAGCAACGTTAAAACCAGTAAAATAAATTTTCTCCCACCTTTTCCACGATGCAGTGCTCATATTTCCGGAGAGGACTTGTGCAAATAAAGACTTCAGTGCTGAAAAGAAACAGCCTTCATTAGCAGTCAGGGGAAAGTGCATGGGATAATAGAAAAGGGCTGTGGAGCGCAAAGTGTCCTTACTCCTGCATGTGGATCATCTCCTGCATAGCTTCAAGGGCTCCTGGAATTGGGTCCAACCCTAGAAAGAAGCCAGGCGATTCATAGACACTGGCTACCTTAGCCTGCAAGAGACAGGAGGACAATTAGCAATGCTCGTGCTTTTATCCGAGCCCTGTGCACAACAGTTGTTCAGTTACCCTGTGTGTAACAGCCGTCAAAGGGCCAGCGCTTTAGAAAGAGAGGGGATGCTTCACACCAGAAGTGGATTATAAAATTCCTCACCTTTTGGGTTCCGGGAAAAGTGCAGCTCAGGCACACAAGAACGAGAAGTTACTCTCTGGTGGCTTGTTTGGAGTGAGGAGGCAGAGCTGGTCCTGACCTGGCTTTGTTTCTACAAGCCACTCCATGAGTAGCACCATGAACACAGCACTGTGCTACAGCTCGACTTGCTGATGTCTGACAGGAGAGCTCACGCCTCACCCCTTCCCAGCAGGTCCCTCTCTACTAACTCTTGTGAAAATCAAAGGAACAAGTTTGAGGCTTCTGCTCCTCTGTCACATTTGACTGAAATTCGCCTATGGCTCAGGAATTTACCAGGGATGAGTGGGTAGACACATGTATCATCTAGTAGTGATCTTTTCCTTCAGAACAAAAAGAGCAATATGGTGACCATGCTAATTACCATCCTCAGTGGAGGGGCCAGGTCAGCACACCCACACATTTGGGGTTAATCCTTTTAGACCAGAACAGCTCAGCGAGAGGGAAGGAAGAGGACAGGAGAGCTAGGAAAGCTACGTTTCTTTGCTGCTATCTATGATTTTCAATCACACACTGAAGTAACAGTTGTTAAAGGAGCAGATACGGACTTCAGCATGGACTTCAGCATTACCACTCCTCTGCGGTAACGTGTTGGTGCAAAGTCTACTCAAAAGAGTGTGAGACTGCAGCAGGAAATTCAGAAGTGGATCCCTGTGCTGCCCCAAGAACCTTCAGCTTCGTGAACTGACCTGTGCACCTCCACGAGCCCCAGCTGGGCTGGGTTTGGTGGTGGTATGGGTGGGCCCCACCTACCGCTCCCCTCATCTGACTCAGAGCACGCAACCTTAGCAGTGGACTGAGCAATGCGATTAAGGGGATCACAGCTTTACCCCTTTTCTCTCTGCACCTGCTCTCAGTGGTAAACCCACCTTTGATACATGCATGTGGGATGCAATATGAATCAGACAAGTCATTAATGACAAACACATGGGAAAGGAGGTTTCTCTAAAGTTATAATAATTTTTAAGTGAGTATAAGTAGGAAAGAAACAAGATTACGGGAGGAGCAATGTTTACCCAGGCTAAAGTGGCCAAAAATGGTGCAAAAAGGTAAAAAGAATTTAATATGATACAGTACAGCAGCATCTTTAATCTCTAAAAGGAAAAGTAGTATTTCCAGGGCAATTCCTGTGCCTCTAGGTAGGACCGTCCTTCCAGTCCTTTTTTTTTTTTTAATTTACTGATAAAACATTCTTGCACCTTTTACTATTAGGAAGTTCACTGGTTTGAATCCAACTCTGGTTAGTTAATTTTAAAAATTGCTACCTGGTGACTGTTCAGTGGCCTGTGTTAAATCTGAGCATTTCAGTGCCGGTCACAGCAGACAGCTCCTCTTACCACACAACCATTAATGACAAAGCACCCGCAGCAGCAGCAGTGTCCCAGCAGCATTAAGGGCTGAGTCCACTTCCAGGCCTAAGTTTCATTCTCAGACAGACAGGTTAAGCTTCCAATATCTCTTCTACCCTAAGACACATGAGTCTTACCTTCCCTGGGGTCAGACAGTGAACTTCAGAGGTGCCGAGCTAGCATTTTTCCACACGCATTAAAGTCTTACGTTCCCATGCCACCAAACGATTTGGAAAACTTAGTTCTTGGTAAGTATTCTTCAAAGGCAGGCTGGCAGCCTTTGCTTAGAAATTGTACAAGATTGCTTTATAGTCCAGGTCTCCTTGCTCTGTATCACCAGTGGAACATCAACATAAAAAACATTTCAATTAAGCAGCAATGAGGAGTCAGCATTAAACAAGTCTCCCAGATCACGGTGCTCACTCAGCTATCATAATTTACAAATATAAATCAACAGTCAGAAATTTGGAAGCACTGCCTGATTTCACATGCAAATCAGAAGAGGTTAAGGAGTCTCGGTGAGGATGTGGCAATCAGATCTGCCCAGATCTGTTTCCATGCAAAGCCTCACTGATCCCAACAACAATTCCCTGGAGCTCTTCCCAAGGAGATTGAATTACAGAATCAGGGCTTGTGTCTGAAAGCTCTTTTATCCTACAGCAAGACACCAGAAACTGGCAAGTGTCCACCACATCACAAAAGTCTGACTTTGCTGGAAAAAGAAATTTGATTTGATGACTCTTAGAACCGAAGTCCATTTGTCAAAAAAAATAAAAAGGTTACTAGAAAAAGAAAGTAAAACCATTTTCTTTCCTCATTCTTATCCCATCGTTGCTGAACATTTGCTTTTAACTTCCATTAGCAACATATCAACTTAAGATTCAAAACTGGAGGAATTACATCTATCCCTAAGCTTTCCCATTTGCAATACTTAAAATAATTCTAGAAATTCTTTCCTCCACTGGAGATGTTGAATCCTTTTCTGAAACTGCCTGGGGCCAGGTAACACATCCTAAATGCTTGGGAGATAAATCCCCATCAACAAAATTGCTACACACACAGGAGGCCAGATAGGCAAGTACAGTAAAGAAAGTCTTGAGCAAAATACTTTCTAAATAAAATTGATTTACAATGTGAAATTAATGATCAACTTACAATCAAAAAAGAAAGAAAAAACAAAGCAATGGCTTAAGTTTCAAGAGGCAGCTGCTCAGCACTGACAAAGCATAAACACCACTCAGTAAGAGGGCAATGCATAAATCATTACCACAGTACTTCCCACACCCCCTGTCACAAGAGTATCTTAACGCACTGGCTGTTCATGGATAGACATAGCAGACACCTGCCACGAAGAGCTCTGTCGGGCTGATCCCCCTCCTTTCAACGGCTGACAAACTGCAGATTCGGTTTCTCTGCACAGACAGGCAGCCCCGCAGACCCCGTGCACCGCTGGCGCAGGACGGACAAGCCGCTCTCAGTGTCTGGGCCGCCAGTTCCTGCTGAAGCTTCTCCTGCAGCTGGGGGCAAGGAGAGACCTTCTGCAGGGATTCTCCTGCACCCCAGACTCCCTGTACCGCCGTGGCAGAACTAACAAGGTCTCTATTTTGAAACAGCCATGGTATTTACATAAAACCTGAAGGAGGTTCAAGTCTTTAAAACTTTATTGTTCTGCCAAACATACCTAAAACAGCCCAGAGATCCAGAGGTTACTGAAGAGGGAGACAGACCCACAACTACATAAACCCGATTTCCTTAGGAAGCCAGGCTAATAATGACCAGTAAGGTAAGAGCTTTCTGCCACTGCTGATCCACGTGGGATTCAAACCAGTTACCCGGTTATTTCATTGACACACCTAAGGTCTGGGAAGGAACAGGATGAGCATGAAGCAAATTAGGGAATGGGAATGCCAGAAATAGAACAGAATGCAACTTTCAGGACAGATCAGACTGCAGACCTTCCGAACAAATAAAGAACAAATAAAAAGCCATGACCCCTTAAATTACTTGCAATTTTTTTGTCCCAGTATACCTAAATGGGATTCACTTCAGGAATGCTCATTTAAGCAATATAACACGTTTGTTTATATAACATGATAAACAAATCATGCCCACTCCCTATATTTACAAGTTACTAGTTCCAGGAAGTTTTGAGCATCAATAGTCATCGATTAGAGCTCGGTCAGTTTGGAGCCTGTGGAAATGCTGCCCGGACCCAGCACTCCCGTCTGTCACACTGGTGCAGGAGCCTGTACCTCGCTATGGAACAGGAGGGAAATGAATGTGAGTTGTCATTTCTTAGCAGTAAAAAACCCTACAGGCTCAGTATAGGATCTTAAAATTAGCAATGAACTTCTCAGGGGAAGTGTACGGCACAGCCTGGATCAGCATCCATTCCGTTTTCTTACAGAGTCCCCGACTGTCCTGCGGTAACCAGAAGGAAGCGTGAAGTCTGGATTCACAGTATTTTTAATTTTGCCTTGCAAATGTCTCAGATACTCATTCAACCATTAGCAAACATTAAAAATAGCAACAATTTGCGCAGATGTAGGGTGTACAAGCTTTTTACATACTGTTCCAGATCACTTACCTACCGTGCACTTTGCTTGTCAGAGCATGCAGAAGGAATGATACAGATATGGGGTTTTATTAGCTGTACAAAACCCATATATAATACTTATATTTCTTGTCCTACTATGGAGCTACATTAACACTTGCAGAGTGCTCAGAGCACCTAGTTATCACCACTGCTGCTTAGCAAGAGCAGTTTATGAGTAGGTGAAGAACAAGCTGAAGATGGTTCAGTGCACAGTTTCACCCAGTTATTTTTATGACAGAAATCACTCATTCCCAATTCCCGCACACACAGCTCTTTGTAAAGGGCTGGCAATCCTCCTGGAAGAAGTCACTAATTACTACTATACAAATTAAGGCTGCTAGCATGAAACAACCCTGTGTAGCACCCCCAAAAAAAACC